ACATATCGGGAGCAGGACTGTATTAATAAAAAAATCGAAATGTCCAGCTATCATGGTTCCAACTGGGAACCCCGCTATTCTGAAATACTGTAATTGTAAATTCCTCATCTACGGATGAGGAGACAAAGCTTAGGCAACTGCAGATCTTATTTAATTCTTATAACAACTTCTTGACACATCATCACGTTAAATGAAATATAACTAATGGTATCTGTTGTGTGACTAACGGATTTTGTATCATAATTGGTTTAATGAAAGACATTTTATTAAGAAAAAATGTTGATATCATCATTCACGTATGTTGATGAAATCATGTTTAGTACTAAAGAACAATAAATTATAGAAATAAAATGTATTTAAGGAACTATTGATGACTAGGTTTAAGGTATCTTTGCACCCACCATAAACACACATAAAAGAGACAACTTTGTTTTTTTGGTGGTAATAATAAAAAACTCAAACATTTAGTCCTATAACCTTGATTTTAGATTAGAAAATAAAGTCACCTTTAAATAAAATGCAAAATAGATTTCATTCTTTCAGACATATAAGGTGCGAGCATTCACAACAAACATGGGTGATATCATCGATGCAATCCGTTCTATATTACCAGCAAGTTCTAGCAACTCGTTCATATGTGAACCCGTAGATCCGAAATCAACGCCGTATAATTGAAAATGCGCTGGTTCGTTTCAACGGGAGCAGTGATGAAACGACAAAATGATTTAATTGATCACTGAGATGTATTTTATGAGTGCAACGAAGCACTCTAGTCTAGTATAAACAAAAAAAACTAAAATGTTTTGATAAATTCTCTTTTCTGTGACGACATAGCCTAATAATAATGATATGTGCAGAAAAATTACTGCGTCACTTTTATGTTTTGGGTAGAAATGTTCGAGTTAAGAGGTTCTTAAACTCTTTCTGGTATTAAATGTATCTTTACTAAGAAATTCCGACCTTCACTCCCCGATATTATGAGTGAGCAATGCCTAGGCGAATCCTAACTATTGAACTGAAGACAGTATATATTGAACATAAGCTCAAGTCTGAGGTAGTAGGTTGTACAGTTTTTAATAAAATTTAACTATGCAGCAAATTACTTCAGGCAATAAGCTTAAATATCAACTGTAATATATATTTTTATTGTTCGCTCAAGGATGACAGTGAGCAATGCACACCTGCAAATATTTAGCATAATAAATAAAGTTCCAAGCGAATTTTTCGATACTTCTTTGCCAACACTGAAATATAGCGGAATTAATCCATATTCGTCAACGATGAGCAAGTATTCTGCGTTAGTATAAGTAATGAATTGAAGATGATAACGATAGTACATTTTTTTTGTTGTTGCTGTTTTAGATATTCACAAGTTTTACTTTGGGAAAATTTCGAAGAAGTTAGAAATCTACAAATGAATGACAACAATATTGAATAAAATCAGCAGAATTATGTCCAAAGATAAGAAGCGACGTAGAGGTTAAAATTGCGATAGATGAAAATGTTTTTGAACCATTATCACAGTTTTTTTGCATAAACAACAAAACGTTGTTCGTTCGAACTATGTTTTCCCCATGCACCTGGTGTAATAGGCGTAACGTTTATTCATTTTAGTAATTGTTTTCTTCTCGCTCGCAGAGGACACTGTTGATCTAAATTCTTACTTTTTCAAATTTATCTCTATTTGTCCTCGTTCTTCAGTCTTTTGTGTTAGCTAAATATTGGCATGTACTGAAAGGGAGAGTGTATTACACTATATAATTTTAGTGTTAATTAATTTTTTATTAGTATGGAGATCATTCAGAATTCAAAAAGGTAAGTATGAGTAGTAGATTTGAAATGTGAAAGCAAATGTGTGTTCTACCTGATTGCTAGCGAACAAGTTCGATCAGCGAGTGGTTTGCTAACAAAGGTTTAAAAAAAATAGTTTGTCAAAGCTAAGAACATGAGAGCGAAAAAATACCTGAAAGAAATCTCTATAAAACAGAAAAAATGGTGAAGATTACACCAAACGAAGGAGCAGCCATGATTACGCCGTAGCCGTAGGTAGTCATATAAAGAAAAGTTTGAGTTAGAGCAGCAATTTTATTTTATTCCAGGAAGTTCAAAGTATCTTTAGTTTGTCTATGAATACAGTATTTTCTCAACGCTTTGTTACATACTTTCCGAAAACAACATTACCATCAGAATTAGTTGACTACTATTTCATATTTTCGGATCATAGGCTGTTGCATTAGTTCGAGTTCAGTTGTATCATACATCAGGGGAAAGAATTTGACTTGATGCATTATCTGAAGTAGATACTATCAGACTTCAGATGCATGAGATGGCATAATAGTTAAGAGTTTGAAATTCTACACTAATTCAGATTTTTAATGATTTTTCGAGTACAGATGTTAACATTTGACAAATCGAGTTGTCCATTAGCTGTATCTACCAAAGTCAAGTCGATCGATATATAATAAGTTAGATCAAGTCTTGATCAAGATATTTTAATGTTGCTACACATTTTTTCGTATTTTCGAGTTTCTCTCGAATGGAATGGCTTTAAGATTTAAAATTTTACTGATGTCTGATCTCTCAGATGTTGAAAATGGATAAAAATTTCGAGCTAATCGAATGCATGTATTTTGAGTTCTATTAAAAACAAATGTTAAAATGCCTCTTGTCACACTGTACGTGAAAATGATACATTTTCAAAATGCCATTTTCGAAACATTCCAATTTTCTTCGGTTAGAATTTTGATAAAAGATTTTTATCAAAAAGACACTCAACCAATGCTTTGTCTTGTCACAGTCGTCTGAAATCTAAAGATGAAAAAAGTCACTAAGAAAATTCGATCTTAATTTTGGCAGGCAAAAAAACCGAAAACTGTGTATTTATTTCAAAAAAAAGACAGATGGTGGTTTGAGCTATTTTTCCAGAACGATACATGATAAAGGCTTGATTTTTTCAATGTTATATGTGTATTCAAAACAAACAAAATAATTGAATTCTGTTTAGTAGAATGGATTTTATAAGTGAAACATTCAGCAAATCCTATCCGTACAAGTATTTTTTTTGCATAAATCATGATTTCTTCTGATAAAATTAAACTGTTTGAGTGAGAATTTTTGAAAAATTTCACAAGCTTTATCCTGGACATGTTTTTAAACGTCTTTTGTCGTCATTGTCAAAGGTGTCGAATGTTTTTCCAGCTTGAAAATGTCGTTTTACAGTACCTCGTCAATAGATATCATTTTTAATTCGATTGATGGCACATTTCTAAGGAAGGATAAATGAAAGATATTTGTCAAACTAAAATTAATTCTGACTTTTGAGTTATACTCATTTTATTTTAATTTAATGTTGAATTTCATAAGAGTTCTTTTATTTTTCCGACTAAGATCCAGCAGCTCCATCTCTCAGAATGAAAGAAACGTGATTTTAAAGAAATGCAAGCCTCTTCATCATTTTTATGTCTAAGAGAAAGTAGTAAGTGAACTTTTCTTCAATTCTCACTAATGAATTTGATTTTTAAACTTGACTTTGTTTGTACTGAATACTTTTGTTTAATAACCACTTTTTAATTACATTTTGATACATTATTGACTTTTCCTACGTTCGAGACTGGCTTTCTGAAACTTTTAGTTACGTCAAACTTCACTGTTCAGTTTTTTTAATCGATTTTCAGAAGTGTTCATGCATTCTCTTACTAATTGTTGTCCTGATGTACCTGCCGTGTATATTCTGATCTTAACTAGGGAAAAAGTTACAGATGTCAGTCTCGAGGACAGCGAGCGTAGTCAAAATCAGCCATGTATCAAGACCTGACCGTTTCTATGATTAAACAGCGATCGTCAAACAAACGTATTTGGTTCTCACTAAAAGTATGAAATTTAAATTTTTCCAAGATTGGACAAAAAAATCCACAAATTTCTTTCCTAAAATAGAAAAAAAAGCATCATCTGTGTTTTGCTACAATTGTAGGAATTTTGCCAGGTGAGTCGACATCCTTCCTTCAGTGAGGGTTTCAAATATAACACAAACGGTATATAAGGAACAAAAACTCATAAGACATTTTATAAAGTGATAATATGTGACAAGGTTGAAGTATATAATACTTTATGGTGTACTATTGTCGCATATGATCACTCTATAAAACGTCTAATGAGTTTTATTCGTTATATAACGTTTGTGCTATATTTTCACACTATTTCGCGTAAAAATTTTTAACAGTGTGCGTATCGTGTGACTCTCTGATTTATTCCCCTTTGTCACAATGAACACATGCAAACATACTTTTTTTGTTCCGTTCTGTATCAGAAGGTGTGATTCTCTCCTAGCTTGTAATCTCTGAAAGCGGTATCTCAACTCCTTTTTTGCACTTTGATTATTCACTTAAAAAGTACTTATTTCTCAAAGTCGGCGTCAATATCATAAAAAAATTGATTATTTGCAGACTCTTTGTATCGATGTAAGAATCACAAATGTAATATTTGCTGTAAAAAGTTTCAGAACAACACACAGGCAGGTGTGTCCAAGAATAATGCTCCAGTCCGAAATCATGAGAGCTAGAAAGCTATAGCTAGGAAGCAGAACGGAAAATTAAGGGCATTGAGACATGAATGATACAATTTTGGTGTAAATACCAGTGTAGAAAGTCGTTGAATTACAAACATAGGAAACCTCCTCATGTCTTCACGGTCTTATTATTCGTCAAGCACTACACTCACTGCAACGAATTCGAGAATGTCGACTGTTTCTGCTGAATTACTTCCATCTTATGATACTTTTATCAATTTACCAAATTAAAATTATCCATATTGTTACATTATCCTGTTATTGCTTAATCAAATATTTGTTTATTATTTTTATCCATTATACACGTTTGCAATAAGTTGAACAAAAGTTTAGCCTAATCTACATAGTTAGATTAGGTTCGATCTGCATGGCTCTATTCAACAACTTTTATGCGAACAAAGAAAAGTCAATTTAAAATTTCTATAAGTTTTTTGAACTATAAAAATTTAATACAAACTGGTTTTTCTAATTCAACTATTTGTCCTGTTGAATTCAATTTTCCTGAACGTGAATTTATTCTAAATATAACCAAATTGTTTGAATCTTGATTTGCTACAATCATATATTGTCCTGTGGGATCTATATTAAAATTTCTTGGTGTTTGACCTTGAGTTGATTCATTTCCAATTAAATTTAATTTTCCACTCTTTTTTTCTACTGTAAAAATGGCTATACTATTGTGACCACGATTTGAACTATACAAATATTTTCCATTTGGATGTAAAAGAATTTCTGCACCGCTATTTGATTTTAACGTAAGATTATTGGGTAATGTGGAAACGGTTTGTACCAATTTCATGTTGCCTAATTTTTGATCATAATCAAAAACATCAATATTTGAAGTAAGTTCATTCATCACATAAATTTGTTTATTATTTGGACTAAATATCAAATGGCGTGGACCGGATCCTGGTGTACTCGTGCCAAAAGGTGATTGAGAATTTGGTGTTATAGTGCCGTTTTTAGAATTATAAGAATAGATGTAGATTTTATCAGTACCTAAATTTTCATAAACAAGTAAGATTTATAAGATATTATTTATAATACTCCTTACCTAAATCAGCGCTTAGCGCAAATTTGTTTTGTTGATCTAATCTGATACTGTGAGCATGTGGTTCGTTCTGTCTATCTTTATTTACACTTGATCCTGTATGTTGTTGAAAACTACTGGATGGTGATAATTGTCCACTCTTTTTGTTGATTGGTAGTACAGCTACATTTCCACCATTGTAATTGGCTACTAGAACATTTTTACCTTCTTTATCTGTCGAGATGTAACATGGTGCTGCACCAAGTGATGTTTGACTATTCAAATATTGTAATGTACCACTACGTTTATTTATTTCAAATGAGCTGACAGCACCAGCTGATTTTCCTTCATATTGCTCTAATTCATTGACCGCATATAAATAACGTGTATTCGGGTGAATAATGAAATAAGACGGATTCGATGTTTTAGCAGCGAGACCTAATTTGTTCAACTGACCAGTTTTCGAGTTTAGTTGATAAGCATAGATTCCTTCGCTTGAAGTTCCCTCTGTATACGTGCCAACATAAACAAGACGTTGCGTTTTTGATGATGGGTGATGATAATTAAAAAAAACTTTCGATTCTAATATTAAAAAAACAAATAGTCAAAATGATACTGCACATGAGTTGATTACCTACCTGTTAAGCAGATAAAACTGCAGAATATCATACAAATCAATGGATTCATTCTAGTTATAACCTCTATAAGTAACACTCTGTTAACTTTCACGATATTTATATACAGACATTTCAAATTTGAAACAATAGAGATAATATTTTACACTCGTGAGAATATGATCAGTTGTTTTTTAAGCTTAGATTATAAAAGGTAACTTAAGTTTCTCTTTATCATTTGTTTTTGTCCTACTGGCAGATTAGATTTTGATCAAATGAGTATTTTTTATCTATATTTTTAGCATATGATGTGTTCTTTCTCTCATCAATCAAAAATAAGAGTCAAAGATTATATACAAACGAGTCACACTTTCATCTTTATTAAAAGCGCTGCGGTCTGAAAAAATAAAGTCGACTTTTACATTAAACATGGTGTGTAATAGAGTACAATGTCCACAGTTTTGTAAACTGCCAAAGAGCTTTCTCCAGGGACGTCTCCCACTCTTTACAATGTTTCCTCTTACAGTTAAGACCATTTTGCCAAGAGTTTTAAAAAAATTGTCCTGACTGTGCCGATGCTGCTGATTGAAATCTCAACTCACGAGGGCCCTCCTCTCCAGTGTCCAGTCGCTTTTTCTTTAAAACATACACGATTGTGGATAATTTTTGATCCTGATTACGAATCTTATATGCGTTTCTGCTGCTAGATCTCTCTGGGGTGGGTCTCTGTAATCCGGATGTCCGAAGATCCGCTATGAACTTCCAGTTGAACATATTTGACACTGCCATATTTTAGACCACGTTGAGTTGCCTATGTAGAAAATTTTCCAGAATCCACGAACAAGTTTTCGCAGCGACAGAAGAAGTTTACTTTCTAACCCAGTGGGGAACCAAAGTATTCCAGGTTCTCGAATGCTAAACTTTTTCTATCCCTTCGAAAACTTGTTCGTGAGCTCTGGAAACTTTTTCACATAGGTAACTCAACGTGCTCTACAATCTGGCAGTGCCAAAATATGTTCAGCTACAAGTTCATAGCGAATCTTCAGACACCCGATTTTTAGTGATCCACCTTGGAGAGGCCTACACTCTAAAAAAACACGTATTTTAAAAAACGTTTAAAGAGTATAACATTTTGAACCATATCATAACTGTCTGTCCGTTTCTGTTTTTTGACCAAAAAACGCATTCTGGAGTTTTAAAATACGGTTAATCACGTTCTAAAAAACCATTAAGGGTATTTTCAACTGTAAAAAACGTAGAAATACCTGTGATATGCTTCAAATGGTTATATCCTTTAGAAACATGGTTTAACCGTCTTGCAAAATACGTGATTAGGTGATTCTTACAGAAAATAAATCTCAAGTTTAAAGAGGGTTTTGGGACAAAATGACTGTTTTTGCACTTTGTGCTATCCTCTTCCTTTGGCCTTTAACTACGAATTACTTTGCTGAAGCACTTGCAATTTCACACAAGGACTTACAGAGTGCATATGTGAGACAAAAGTGTAGAGGAAATACTACAAGTATTCAACTTGTGCTTTGAAAACGAGATTGGTTTTTGTGAAAACAACAAAAGAGTTATAAGTAAACTTAGTGCATAGTATGCAGAAAAAAAGTAGCCATGAACGTCATAGCTAGTGAGAATACTTTTCATTTAGATGAAATATGTTACTCTTAACGTGTTCTCGTGGTGTAGTGGTTATCACATCTGCTTAACACGCAGAAGGTCCCAAGTTCGATACTTGGCGAGAACATCGGTTATTTTTGTTGCTAAAACATGATGATCGAAAAGTAACAAAGCAAAAAAGCCTTTTCGTAGGTCGCACAGGTGCAAAAGCTTCATCTGCAGTTTATTATTTAATTTGTCCGCTGAACCATTCCAAAAAATATTTATTTTTGTATTATCTAACAACAAAGAACGGCGTTTTAGAAAATCTTTCTGTCTTACGTGTTAGCTCTCATTTTGTAAGGAGTAATCTGATATTTTCTTTCGAGTGTTCAAACTTGGTCTGTCCACGTAACAGTCGCCTTTTCGTGATTCCGTCGCGACTTTTGTTATTTTGCGAGCCTCTTGGCGCTCGAACAAAAGGAAACTCAAGGACCGTTTACATCTAGTCTTGTAGAGAAAAGTGAGCTGAACAAAATGTGATATTTTCTGTTTCTGAAGAGTGTCGTGGTTCTCAAATATAACAAAATTTTTACGCGCCCCATTTTGGCAGACTTTAGATTGGGGCTCATAAAAATTTTGTTGTACTTGACGACCACGATATTCTGTGAAAACGAAAAATATCACATTTTGTTCAGCTCACTTTTCTCTGCAAGACTAGCTGTAAACAATTCCTTAGTTTCCTTTTTGTTCGAACGCCAAGAGGCTCGCAAAACAACAAAAATCGTGACGGAATCACGCGTTACGTGGACAGGCCGAACTGTTAACTGATTAAGTAAACATTTTGAAAAATATGTCTTCAAAACGGACAACGGGGAGAAAGATTTGTCTAGTAGTTCAGCGGACAAATTAAATAATAAACTGCAAATGAAGCTTTGCACCTGTACGACCTATGAAAAGGCTTTTTTGCTTTGTTACTTTTCGATCATCATGTTTTAGCAACAAAAATAACCGATGTTCTCGCCAAGTATCGAACTTGGGACCTAGGGATGCACCAAACCCGAACTCCGGCTCGGAGTTCGGGACCGAACTGTTCAGGTTCGGCTCAAGTTCGGGTTTGGTTCTAAGGTTCGGGTTCGGGTGGTATCCAACAGATACTGACAGTGTGGAGTATCTAGGTAGTTGTCTTATAGTTTTTTGAGCTATATAAGAGATTTTAGAAGCATCCTAAGGTTCGGCTAAGTTCGCGTTCGGGTTCGGAGTTCGGGTTCGGATATTTTGAAACGTCTTTAAAATTTTTCGATGAAGTCTATTGTTGTTTAGTTTTGGATAATTTTTCTCATGATGCACAGACCTTTCGTAATCAACCGCGAAACCTTCTCTTTGGACTTACTACTGCCTGCTTCTGGAAGGGAACTAAACATGGCTGGACGGAGCAACGAACCCGAATCCGAACTCGAACTTCATAACCGAACCCGAACCCGAGCCGAACCCGAACTCATCGAACGCGAACGTTCGGATTTGGTGCATCCCTAGTGGGACCTTCTGCGTGTTAAGCAGATGTGATAACCACTACACCACGAGAACACGTTAAGAGTAACATATTTCATCTAAATGAAAAGTATTCTCACTATTCTCTTAAAAAAACGGAAGAAGGATATCGTACAGGACCTCTCTCAACAAGAAGGTCCTATGGGTCCCTTTTTTGCCGCGTCCCGCGTTGCTTTTCGTACATTATTCTACTGTTATATTCTCGTATTTATGTACGAGGTACCAGGCATACACACTAAACAATAGCATCGTTCACTAAAATGCAATGACACACTAGAGCTTCAAAAGTTTAGTCAAAACCCTTTAGGGTTTGGTAGCTTACTAAACCCGAACGCTGTAGCGTGTTATTGCATTTTACTACACCCCTAAAACAGGATTTAGTAAACGTTTTTTGCCGTCTTGCTAAATCTTTTTCTACTTTTGACTAAAGCTTTCTGCTTTATAAAATACTTTTCTCGCGACTCGTAGCTTTCTTCTCTTTTACTCGCTAATTTCAATCTTCTCAGACAAAAAAACTCAGAAGCAAAAGTAAATGAAGATTCTCATTATCACAAAAACTAAAGTTTTTCCTTGCTTTTCAAAAAACTCTTCTTCCTACAAAAAATTATTTTCACAGACACGAAAATTTCTGAAATTCGTTTTAAAGATATTTTATTCCAGCTCCCTCGAGAATTTTTTTCATGCGTACCGCACCTTAGAAATGAAGACATCATAATCGGCACCGTCTCTACTGCTTATGCTTTTGCAATGTAACAAGTAAAGATACACAAAGAGGCAACCAACAAAAATATCTCAATAGATAAAAAAGTACCACACTACTCAGTCAATCATAGGTACAGTGAGAAAACAGTACATGAAAAGCTGATTGTGCAGAAAGGGATTTATCAAGTTTTCTTGCTTTTCCTTTCTGCTTGTTCACTTCTATTTTTCGTAATTACGGAAGTTTTTCTGCTTTTTAAAAAATTGATTTTATTTCCAATTTCCGAGGCGCCTCTGATAGGCCTTCGTTAGGTGTACTTCTGAATTTTAGTTTAAAACGTATTCTGCAGTTTTCCTTTGGGGTTTTTTAAACAAAAAAAAAACCTTTAGAGTTTTTCTTGGTAGATGAAAAACCCTTTGGCTTAAAACAGGAAATTTTATTTCTAGTAAACCCTTCGTGAAAAATTGTTGAGAGTTTAGTAAGCGTACTAAACCTAGTTAAAAAACTTTTAAAAGTTTAAGATCTGATAAACCTATTTGAATATCTGCGCAATAGATTAATGAGCCTTGGTTATGCTAAGACGGAAATGAACTCGATCTTTAATCCTTTAAGTACGAGCGTGCCCGATAAGGTACACTTTTTTCAAACTTGATAAATTCTAAATAACTCGCGACCGCAAAAAGATATCGAGATGCGACCCTGCAGTTTTGTCTGCTGATCTCTAGTATGTTGTTAATTTTGCTCACAAGTATATGAGAAGTGAAAAAGACGGAAAATAAATGAAATAAGCGGTAAATTAGGTTGAGTGCGACGTCTTCTTTACAATATTTTATCTATGGATATTTTCTCCCTAATTTTTGATTACTATATTTTTACACGATTGTGACGAACATTAATCACAGAAGATATGGTAGAATGAACGACCTTTGATTCCTCACCCGTGCCTCCCTATGTAGGTTTCAATAGCGGGTGCTCATTTTCAATGACTATCTCGAATCCTACAATAGTTAACTCTCATACTTTGTGTGAATAATCTAAAGATATTTTAGAGTATCTGGTACAGTTTTGAAGTGAAAATAATATTCCTAGGCTGAGTTTTGAATTTGTTTGGAAGAGGATCTCAAACTTCAAAAGTGACACTCGATCGTAAAATAGCTGTATTTCAGTAACTATTAAGAGCAACACTTCAAATTCATACCATAGATAGAGGAGAGGCAGTGCTGCATTTTGGTAAAAAGAAAAGGCTTTCACCTCTCTTGGATCAGGAGTTATAAGCATTTTACGAAAAAGTAATGAAACGCTTACATCTCACGAACCATCTAGTAAAAGAGACCCAAACTTCGTGAGTGATCAGCATTCGGTAAGAGTTATGATCACACAAAATTAGAAGTCCCTAGCTATCATGGTCGAGCAATGGTACTTAAAGGGTTAAGCTTGCCTGTACAAGCGAAATAAAGTATCTCGGTGATTAATTAAACTTTATTAGACCAAATGCTCTTTCTCTTCACTGATTGTATCGAAAACATGACATTGTGCAGAATTATTGTGATTTTCTTTATCGACCCAAAGATATAGGACAGAATTGAGCCAAATGGAAAAAGCATGACCGCGAAAATATCTGAACTCAAGTATAACAGTGGTCCAACTAAGCAACGTCGGTATAATTGATCCACAACAATTGTACAAAGAACAGAAACAGCCGTGTAATACGACTTTTCCAGAATTTTCCAGTGAGTTTTCGTGGAGATACACGCATCACCGCAAATACCCTAAAAAGCAGAACCCTATGTAGAATAAGTGTTTTTCTCATTATATTTTTTCGATAGTCCCCTCAATCCAGTCACATTACAATCCCTGGAAAAAATGGTCCGATCGAGCTCAAATTTTTACCCCAGATACTTTAGACCCTATCTCAGGATGTCAATTTTTCTTTAAGTGTTTTCGATTTCAACTTTCGGCGTGAGAAGGTAAAAAAAAATACCTTGTACACCAATGTATGAATGTATAATATGAATAATATGTATAATATGAATGTATCAATACATAATAGGTAATTTATCATCTAGGGACTTAATGACATTTTTAAAAATACAATTTTAATAAAATAAGATCAACTTGTTGAAAAAATTGTTTATGTATATGACAAACATTATAAATTATATTTTTTCGTTTTCCAACATTAGTCGAATCATCCTAACCGTCACTAGTAGTAATATTTCGTTGTTCGATTAGCTTCGACTGCTTGCCTAGCCAAGCCGCACTATAATTTTGGTTTTTTGTTCTATTCGAAATTATATTTATAAGAGCATTTCGAAATAAACATAACAGAGTTCTGAGTATACCTGAATAAATAGGGCTCTATACTGAAACAACAAATAAATAAATAAATAACCGATCTTCTTTTTCAAGTATCACAAACCATGTATTATTCAAACGCATCTAAATACATTTCGAGAGCCAAATGCGTCCAGGCTTCGAATTATTTTTCAATAAAAGATTCAACGCTGAGAGAACGAACTGTACAATAAATGCGGTTATACACCGATGCTAAACGTTTTGAGCGCATCCAAAAAGACAAATGCACCTGGACGCCTTCGCTTCAAACAGAGAAGTATTCAATTTTAGAATAAATGCGTCTGAACGCTATCATCAGACGTAGTTGAACCTGTTTTTCTTAAGTATTCAGGAAAAAATGTGTTCAGGGACGTTTATAGATCGAAAACTTTTACATAGGTGCTATTTAATCTGTTCGTTCGAGTACGACAAGGACAGTGAAAAATTCAGCTCGCAGTCCTAAAAAAATCGAAAGTTAACTGATCGATCATCTTAAATATACCGATAAAGGGAAGAAAACAAGCTATCTAAAGAAGACCTTATTTTATTGTTATTTATGATTTTTACAGGTGTTAATTACTTGTAACCAAAGAGCTGTGTGATAAAAAAACCATTTAATACTTTCTAAACGTCAGACTGCTGCATTTAATATACATAGATAATGTTTAGTAATCTGTGTGTGTTTTGATTAAGCTCACAGTAATGACATGATGTGTTACTAGTTTGTTTAAAGTCAAAGGATATAAATTATTTCTTTTACTAATTGAGTATGGTTAGATTTATTGAACAAACACACGTAGACAACAAATAGCAAGGTAACTTATATCTACGACAATTAGTGTACTAGTAGCGATAATATTCTTTATATCAAGTGAGTCCAACGCATGTGTTTTTATTATTCTTATCTGTCATTGATGAAAGAGTTGTTTTTCATGTAAGTGCATTAGAAATGTATCAAATATGAGAGAAAAGAACAAAAATAATTTTTATTTTGTTTTTCTCTAAATTGTAGAATATGTTTCTAGTCTATATATTTAGTTCATTTTTGTAAAACACGATGGTCATCTTCTGTCATCAATAGTGTAACAGCGGCGTTAGCCATCAATCAGCCTTGTGGAAAATAAATACTCATTCTCGCTCATAATATATTTTATATATGTTCGTGTGTCTGTGTCAAGTATCTGTAATTACATTAGTGAGAAAGAATGTTTGTGATTTTATCCACAAATGTGCCATCAAAACACGCTATCTAGTTCTTAATAAGGGTGTTTTTTGAATACTATTAAACATATATAAGAAAATTTAACAAAAGATATAGAGAAAGGGTGAGAGAGAAAGTAGTCAAAACATTCATTGGATTTTATGATATGGACGTAAGAAAGTGAGACTGCGCTTGTATTTTTTATGAATACATTTATTAGTATGTTATTTTATTATTTTGATTTCTATCATTCCATGTCGGATTTCAGCTGAAGGAATGAAAAAAGAATGTATCAGATTTTTTTTGGACGATACAAGTATGTTGACAAACGGATAGGATTGAATAAATGGCATTTTGGAGAACAGATTTTGAAGATATTCTTTTTTCTTCGTCATTCATCAATTTAAGAAGTTAGAGTATGGTTTCGAGGTATGATTAGAGTCTGTTTCATTACGTGAACTATTAAGAAAAAGTTCCATTCAGTGTCCAGTTTCTTCTCATCTATAAGGGCAAACATGTTGAAAAAAATCCTATGTATTCCAATAAGAAAGGAGGAAAAATCAAAAATAGCTTGATAAACTGATTTTTATATCGATAGACTCAAGTATCACTATATGTTACAGCAACCGTTGCATCCTTGTTGACATGGTAAATACTGCTCATGTCGCATTCAATTCTCGAAATAGATGTGGATTGTGTAACAAAATTTTCTTGCTTTTTTTGCCGTACACATGAAAAAGTTCATATCTCACTCAAATGGATGCAAATGACTTAGAAACTTACACGTGATAGTCACAATTGCACATGCTGAACTTTTTCTAGTGGATTTCCGATATATCTAAAACCTTCTTTGATTTTTTTCAGAAAACGTTGTGTTTAAAAATCTAGTCTCATTTTAATCCAATATCTAAGATCGCGTTCAATATATAAAAAGTCTGACCTTGTCATATTGTTTCTTTCCCCGTATTATTGTCTTCCATAGGTAAACGAAGAGAAGAAAAAGAAACGATAGATAATAACGGTCGATGTAAGATAAGGTATACATACAGCTATATATGCTAGGTCTCTTTTAAGCTCTGTTCAATACATGCATTGTACTCTTAAAAGCTCTGAAATATGGGATTTATTGTAGAATTGTCTTGTAGTTTGACGTGACTCACGATAAAAAACTGTCGCTTAACTTTTTCAATAAGAAGCATAAGGATTGTTGACGTGTTTTTAGTTTTAGATGATGACAATGATGTGATTGCGACCAATTTTTCATTAATTTTTCAATAAGAAACTTTATTTTGGAGAGTTGATATTTAACAAAAAAATGTCCAGTGAAACAAAAACGATCAAATGTGTTTGTGTTGGCGACGGAACCGTGGGTAAGTTTTCATCTTTTGTTTCGTGGGATTTTAATATGACTGGTATCTCTATCATTCAACTGTTGAGTGAGTTTGCGTTTAGAGAAAAGAACATTTTGTGAATACTTCTTACTTCATGTTTTCCTTATTTAGGAAAAACTTGTATGTTGATATCTTACACAACAAATTCATTTCCAACAAGTTATATTCCAACAGTATTTGACAATTATTCTGTAACAGTAATGATTTCAGATGAGCCGTATACATTAGGTATCTTCAGTTTTCTCTTCGATCTCCATATTTTAAATTACTTTCTGTGTTTTTCAAACACTTTTTCAGCCTTATTTGATACCAGCGGCCAAGAGGGTATGATCAGTTCTAGGTTCTTTTTACTCCTTACTATGTTATATATTTATTTTGTAGGCTTTGAATATATTAGATCTATAAGTTATTCCAATACCGATGTATTTTTAGTATGCTACAGTGTTATGTCTCCAAGTTCATTCACAAATGCTCAGAAAGTATGGATACCAGAAATAAGAAGATCAAATCCCAAAACACCATTCGTAAGTGTAGACAACAACAGCAGAGCGTTAAAGTTCAGTGATGACAATATTGGAGAAGTAGCATGAGATTGATTGAAAGAGTCATAACGTATGGCATCTCTTATCTTTCTTTAGGTGTTGGTTGGAACCAAAATCGATTTGAGACGAAATGAAGAAGAAATTGAAAAATTAGCCAAATCAAAAATGAAGTCGATTTCACGTGAACAAGGAGAAAAAATGGCAAAAGAATTTCATGCTTATGCCTACATTGAATGTTCAGCATTGACACAAGAAAATTTAGAACAAACATTTCACAATGCGATTTCAGCCACAATCGAACGAAATAAAAAGAAAACTTCTAAACAGTTGCCTTGTTGTAATTGTGCACTTTTGTAAAAGAGTTTATTTTTGCACACACTAACACATCCTACCGAGGATAGAAACAGACCGGCAACATCACCCACAGTTAGATTGACATTGATGACACATTGTGTAAGTCAAAGTTCTGAAATGTCTGCGCAATAGATTAATGAGCCTTGGTTATGATAAGACGGAAATAAACTCGATCATTTAAGCTTGCCTTTACAAACGGAATAAAGTATCTCGGTGATTAATTAAACTTTATTAGACCAAATGCTCTTTCTCTTCACTGATTGTATCGAAAGCATGACATTGTGCAGAATTATTGTGATTTTCTTTATCGATCCAAAGATATAGGACAGAATTGAGCCAAATGGAAAAAACATGACCGCGAAAATATCTGAACTCAAGTGTAACAGTGGTCCAACTAAGCCAGGCAGAACTTCTCGTTTCAGTTTAATTCGTTGCATGATATTCGACTCTTAATCATAGAGTAGATTTATATTCATGGAAAAACTGACAGCATTTCTTGCAAATATTTTGAGAAACAGCTTAGTTTTTCACGACAAAGGTGAAAAATTTCATTACAGACTATTTCAACTAAATCTTCTTGTTTTACACATGAGTAGATGACGTTGGACGAGTAGATTTCAAATATAGTATTTATTTCCATTGACAATGCTATAACAAGAAAACCAGATTCCATCCGAAAGACCATGGAAAACCGCGTGTGCAGTCAAGTGACATTGCCGCTAATACTACTAATGTAACAGATCTTTAACATGATTCATCCAAGTTTTGAAAGAGATTGGCTTGTGAAAAATTTTAAAAATTCATTATACTGGGCACTGGCATTTCACTTTAAGTTATTTTCTCCTCAAAAGTTTTGCCAGAAAAACTGTCATGGATATGTTTTTCCGGTATCCTCCGTTTAGAATAAAATGCGCTGTAGACTACAACTTTATTACTTGACTTTTTGATAAATCGATTTCTTGTTTCGTCGTCTCAAACAAGAAACTTAGCCGCCATAAAAAGACCCAACATTGAGGTTCACTACCCGATAAATAGTTCTACAGAATTGTTACTGATGGCTTTTCTTGAATGTCAGTGTAACAGACCACTGCAAATCTGTTTCCCTCAGAGCTTGATTTTCTTCAATCAGTTTACATATAAATAATTCAGAAACATCTATCAGTTCTTTGAGCTTTATCTAAAGCATTTCAACCGTTTAATTAACTATATGTCGTACAGGAAGGATAGAACATGATCTTTGTTATCGAACAGCATGCTTCGTAAGATTTCGATACTTTTCTCAACTCATTTTCTGGTTTATCAATCAAATGTTGAGCAAAACTCTTTGTAGTTTTCTGAAGTAATGTTTGCAACTCGTTTCAAATTATGTGATGATTGCGTAACTTGACTTTTATTTGTGCGAATTAGGCGATTTTTGATGATATGGGTATTCATCAACATCGGAAATTGATGATAGTCATCGAGTAGGATGTACCAAAATTATTGATATGCCTGGATGTTTTGATCGACAAGAATGGAGAAAAACTCAGTTAACAGATTCTAGTAGTTCAGCGGACAAATTAAATAATAAACTGCAGATGAAGCTTTTGCACCTGTGCGACCTATGAAAAGGCTTTTTTGCTTTGTTACTTTTCGATCATCATGTTTTAGCAACAAAAATAACCGATGTTCTCGCCAAGTATCGAACTTGGGACCTTCTGCGTGTTAAGCAGATGTGATAACCACTACACCACGAGAACACGTTAAGAGTAACATATTTCATCTAAATGAAAAGTATTCTCACTAGCTATGACGTTCATGGCTACTTTTTTTCTGCATACTATGCACTAAGTTTACTTATAACTCTTTTGTTGTTTTCACAAAAACCAATCTCGTTTTCAAAGCACAAGTTGAATATTTGTAGTATTTCCTCTACGCTTTTGTCTCACATATGCGCTCTGGAATGCAAAACGTTTCTCGTCTCTTCCATCGTTTCACAATGAGAGAGAGGAATAATCAAAAACGTTTTGAGCTTATGGATGTTTATGAGCAAGAGGGTACACCGACAGATGAGCCTCCCGACACTATAAAAGCGCGACTAATCGGCAAAAGAAGCATACACCACAACTACACACAATAAAAGCGGCGATTTTGATGACATGGGTATAATCGTCTTTCGCGTTTCGCGTACAATGGGCTCTGTAAAACATTAGCTATTGGTGTTTTACCAGTTGTGCAGCGTGCAATTAAAATAATTCTTCTTGGATGACATGTAACAGTTGGATGTTTATTATATGTCTCGTCCAATATTTTGATTTCACCTATTAGGCAAATCGAAGAAAAGAATTTTCAACAGTATGCTATAATCTATACAGAAAATAGCAAATAGATCAAATATTTCTGGAGTAACCACCTAGGAGAAACTCATCTTACAAGATCATACAAGATCTGCCCTTTTCTTATGAAATTTTGTAGCAAGATCTTACTGCATGATCTTACAAGATCTTATCTTAGGATGTCGTAAGATCCTGCGGGTGCACTTCCACGAGCCTGTCTAACTCTCTTTTTAAAAATTCTATTTTAAACGGTTAGGAGAAGAAATTTATATCAAGTTTTGACATGAGTAACTAGCATTCAGTCATGTCTACTTTTTAAGCGCAAAACTAAAAAGGTTGATTTGTGAAAAGTAAGAGAAAAATGTCTTTTTCCATACATAATACCCATTTTACAGCCATTCTGTGTTCAACTTTCACGAAGTTTAAAACGCTAGAAAAGATTTCAAAGATCCTTATTTGAAAGTCGTGTTCAAAGCTTCAAATTGCGTCTTCGACGAGAAACGTTTTGCATTCCAGAGCGCATATGTGAGACAAAAGCGTAGAGGAAATACTACAAATATTCAACTTGTGCTTTGAAAACGAGATTGGTTTTTGTGAAAACAACAAAAG